ACGAAGATGCGACAGCAGTATGGGACTGCGTCCCCACCTGGGAGCCCACCGAGGGACCACTTCTGTTCAGCGCTCCTGAATTACGGGCGCTATCGCATCATCTCCTGAGATCACAACACAACGCACAAGCAAAGCACAGCAAACCCAGGATCTCTCCAGGGACCCACGGGTGCTGCGTGTCCACGTCCTGGGGGAAGCACAGCGTTGATTGTCCAAAGCCATCATTCAGCAGGGGTCAGGAGCCCAGCCCGAAGGCCTCTCTGCAATGCAGCATTTTCCCAATCAGAGCCAAGCACTAGCGAACTACAGAAAACCCACAAGCACTGCACATGTTTTTTCTGTTCCATTAAGTCAGCTGCTTTTGCAAAACAAAATCTTTAAAAGAACAAGAGTGCGGCCATCCACTCATCGCTGCTCTCTGGTGAACCACCTCCTTGCCTTGCCCTGGCAGGTACCAGGCTTCAGGCCAAATCCCAGTCAAAGGCAAAAGCCTGGAGAGCATCCATCACACTCCCAAACACACTGGGAAAGCAGAGGAGCAGGATTGTTGCGCAGTGCCCTGAAGCACATCCTCTGACAGGCCGCTACAGGCACCCACCGCCCAGCCCAGCCCTCCGCCTCTGCTCCGTCCCCGGGACCCTGTGTGGGAAGGTGAGCCAAGGGGAGCCCAGCTGGACCGGCAGCCACCCCCCCCACAGTCCAACAGCCAGCGCTGCGGGGATGAGAGCCAACTTCCTCCTATCACCAAGCAACAGCAGGGGCGGTCAGACACCGCGGAGGGTCCGGTTCTCAGCACCGATGTGGGTGCATCCCCGGAGGACTCCAGCTGCCCCAGTCCGCTGAACAGCTCTGTACGGTTGTACGACGGGTCAAAAGGAGAACTGGCTCCACCCCCATCTGATATCCATCCACATCTCCACCCACATCTGATGTCCATCCACATCTCCACCCACATCTGATATCCATCCACATCTGTCACGTCCAGCCTCACAGTAACGCAGTCTTGCTGCAAGTTCCGCTCACAAAATATGTCCATGTGTCCACATTCACCTTAAACTCTGGCACAGATACTGACACTGAAAATTTTGCAGATGCCAAGTGAAGAAGCTGTTGAATGCCACATATATTTGACCTTATTTTTAGGCTAATGCTCACTTATGGAAATGGAAACGTCACGCTAAGTTTTATTATCTTACAAAAATAAATGGAAAGCTAAGGGAAACAGACATCTCATTTTACGGAAGACATTTTAATTGAAGCATAACCTTACAGCTCCCCAAAGCTTAGGGAAGAAGGACATTTAATTCCTCAAATTGAATTTTTATGTTTAAAATAACATTAATCTGCAAGACAGGCAGCTGCTCCCCATGCTCAAAACCTTCACCATCACCACAGCCTAGCGATGACCACGGAGGGATCCGAACTGGCGTACCGTTTTATCCATGCTCCTGAGATCCTAGCTTTCAGGAGGAACCGATTCGGGAGAACCAGTCCTCTCTTGTTTCACAAGTAGCTGCCTGTACCGCACTGAGACAGTGAACAACAGATTGATGTCTCTCTCACATCCAGGTTTAACTGAGTAAAATAGGCAGAAAAGAACACTGTGATAAACATCAGCAGTATCTCAAAACTCACACCATGCAAACCAGAGTCGCTGGAGTCCCCTGAGCCACAGTGGTGGTTACAGATTGCTGCTGCAGTAAGCAACTCCCATTAATAAGAGCAGTGTTTCTAATCCACTGCGAAATAAAGTGAAATGAAAGGTGTCGTTAATTTGTCTTTCCAGTGCTGCCTTGCATCAGAATTATGACAGCGATACCATCACCCTCCAGCACGAAATGCTGTTTCCAACAATTCAAATACACTCAGACTAATTAAAAAACACAATGTGCTGAAAACCTCAGTACTTCAGTAACAGTGCTTTTTACTAACAGGTTGCAGCAGAAACATCAGCTATTTTTGAATTCAAGTTCTGAGACACTACTTAGATAAGAAACATTTAAAACAGTGGCGCAGTCCTGGTTCAACAGAAAAAAAAGTCCTGTTGGCTTCAAAGGAGCAGAACTGAGCCTAGGAAAGTTGCACTTCCTTCAGTCCTACAAAATTCGTACGAACTAACCTTGCTAAAATGCTTCTGAAAGAGCAAGCAAAACAGTCCCTGAACACACGACAGGCCTGAAGAGGAACGGCATCACGCACCCGCTGTGGAGATGGTGGGAGGAGCGGAGGGCCGAGCTGCAAGCAAGGGAGGTGTCCGTTCAGTGTCAGGACGCCCAGGAGCCAGGTCTGCTATCGCCAGGAAGAGGTGGCCCGGGGCGGCGGATCCCCAGCACTGTTCGGAGCGCGCTGGGCAAAGCAGCTGCCAGCAGGCCCGGGCGCCTCGCAGCCGAGGCCGGGTACCGGAGGACTGCGGCGTGCTGCAGCACGGCATACGCGGACACTTCTCCACCCGCGCGAGCTCTCGACTGCAAAGCAGTAACCAAAAACAAAGAGCAGCAGGCTGGTCCAGCAGGGCAGGCACGAAGCTGGGAGCTGGGAAGCCGGAGCTGAGGCTGCAGGTTGTACGGAGCGGGCCAGAGCCCGTCACCCCTGCCCACGCAGCGGCTCTCGCCCCTCATCCTTCACCTGCTCCCGCTTTCCTGTGCAGGGCCGGTGCGAGGGCAAGGCTGGGCGAGGGCGAGCAGGGAGCCGGACACATGGCAGCAAAATACATACGCTGAAAATACATCACAAGGCGTGGTTGCCCATGAACTTTTACAACCCTGGTGACTCGTTCAACAGTGTTTTCAGGACAGATCAAGCGGGTGGAAGAAAGGGCAGGGTGGCACAGCACACGCAGGGCACAGTTACTCAAATACAGCTTATTGACGGCTTACAGTCACAGCATTTTGGAAGAATGCAGGATCAATACGTCAGCTAGCGCAGCCCACGAGAGGGTGCCGCTCACACAGACCACCAAAATCACAGCAGATAAAAAGTGGTTTTCATAATGCCATAAAGCATTTCAGTACAGGAGATATATGGGAGTCTTAAATCACCCAACAGCAAAACCCCACTCGAGTTTCTAAGAATTACAGCTGATTGGAGGGGGATTGAGGGTAGGAGCAGTTAGTGTACCCCGAATCAAGTACTGGGGTTTGGGCCCAGAGAGAAAGATGTGTTGGGCCATCAGATAGGAACCGGGGAACACCTGAAAGATGAGTTCACATTTTGTGTAGACAAACAAGGGGCCGTCCCAACCAAAAAGGCATCTCTAGGGTTTTAAAAGGGTTAATTTCACATAACTGAAGAAAATTTTACCAAACTAATTGGAACAGAAAATGTAGAGGAAAAAAAGAAGACTGAAAATAGACAGTTCTTTAAAAGGAATTCATTAGCAGGCTGAGAATTCATGTTTTTGCGAGAGGGCTGTTTTAACTAAACCCTTGGTGATCAGTAACCGTAGAGGTCAGACTAGATGTTCACAGTAAAATTTTCAAATTGTGATATAAGAAGCGTTATTTTTAAGTTATTCATGAAATAAGGAGAAATTGTTCATCTGTATTAGACAAAAGAAAAAAAAGACACTGAATAACATTTCCTTGGGTTGAACACTAAGTCTGGCCACTCAGCCCATTTGCACCCACGAGTCCTGCAAAGCTTGGGCTTGCCAGCACCCACCATGCAGCAACATTTCAAAACTGGAAGGAGGCCAGCGTGCCCCTTCTCCGAGGGCATGTGCTACACCCACAAGCAGGAAAGATACCTGGGGCAATGTGAATAACACTGGTAAGGCTTTTGTTGACTTCTCACTGGATAACAACCCGAACAAGAAATAAGGATTATACAGCTTCAACCCTGTCAACAATAGGTAGACTGAAAACTGGCAATAGATCTGAAAGAGGTTATTGGAGAACAAACATTAAGCAATCTTAATACACGCCCCCAGAGACCAGTTTCAGCCCCTGTGCTGGTCAACAGCTCGATCTAGAAACAGATACAAAATTGTCTGTCAGACCTTGCAGATCAGCCAAATAACAAAGACAACGCAGTCACGGAGCGTGACCCGGCTCCCTTGGCAGGGAGGGCCTGCTCAGGTAAGGTGGGCTGCGAAAACGAAGTCGTACATCTAGGAACAAGGCACGCAAACGCTTCTGTCGGGGATGCCAGCCTGTATCTGGGGCTGCACTGAACTCTGACGCTGCAAGGGATGCAGAGGTCAGGGCAGATAAACAACTCGGCAAAAGACTAGGGACGAGAGGGCTAATGCAATTATGGGATGTATAGAAAGAGAAACAGAGCCAGAGTTTGGAGGAGATTTTTATCTCTATGTCCTGAAAGTATGTGTACAGCGTAGTGTTTTAAAATGTTCAAATTCTACAGCACACTTTGAAAAGAGACTGGAAAGGCTGTTTTAGACTGGAGAAAAAATTCTCAGTGAGGGACTTGAAAAGCTTCATCTGTTTAGTTTATCAAAATGTAGATTCAGAGGCGATGGTTCTCAGCGTGTTCAAGGCAAAAAAGCGGAGGTACTAACAAACCCTTTAAGAGAGAAAGCTTTAGCCATAAACTGCTCAAAACCGAAGTCAGATAAAATCAAGGAAGTAACAGAGTACGACTTTTCTTAACAGTAAAGGTAATTAACCTTTAGTCTCATAAAGGTACGAGCAGTGCAAAGCAGAAGTAGTGAATTCTCAGTGGTATAAACATTTAAATTAAAACTGGATACCTGCATAGATGATTTGCTTCAGGTAAATGCAAGTTTCTGGGTCTGGGTGAAACGGCACGGTTTATTCTAAGAGCTCTGACAGGATCATCTTCCAGTTTTTAACTCCACAGATTTATACCAACACAGGAAAAGAACAGCATAATCTATCACTGCCCGTAACACCTGCATAACTCCCCTTTGCTGAGGTAAGCGCGACAGATTATAAACCATTCTTGTATTGGAAATGTCAAAAGCATTCAGAAGGTAAGGCAAACCAAAGCTCCGGCCTGCCCTGGCCACCCAGGCAACTTACTCAGAGATGTGCACGAAGATGTCGGGCCCTCCATCTGCAGGGGTAATGAAGCCATGGCCTTTGGAGCGACAGAAGCATTTACAGACGCCTTTGTAGATGGGACCCTCCGAGGCTCTCACGGTGCTGCAGAAGAAAGCACAAAGAGAGAG